ATGGTTTTATTTGTCTTTATTTATTTTTCGAACATTGACTAAAGCTTTAGTGGGTAATTAGTTTGAATTATTAAATTGATAATGTTTGAATTTGTGTGTTGTGTGTTTTAGGTAGTTTGAAATATTAAATTATGTACAAAAATTGATTATGGGGCAATGTGCTCACTATTTTGGATTTTGAAGGGGCAATGTCTCTTTTGTATATTTTCAGGGGGGAAAGTGCAAAAAGTTGATTTTTTAAGGGGGTGAAGTGCATTTTGTCCTAGTTTTAATGAAGGGATGAAAAAATAAATAAATTTGTGGCTGTTAGCCAAGAATGCGGTGGAGATATTACAGCCACCACCTACTTTTGCCATTAAAAGGTGGTTGTGTTGAATTAAAACAAGAATTGTAGTTAGGGTTTGTAAACATTAGGATTGGCTAATTTAATAAGAACTTGACATCCACATAAAACAAACCCCCCTACGGTCCCTCTCTGCTGCAGTTTGCTGTGCCATCAATTAAGCCAAACTATTTTGCACTATGTATGTAATGTGACATATATTAATTAGTATTTATTTTTATTGATTAATGAATTATTTAGTTCTTGAAATAAATTCAAGGCTAATAATTAATAAGGCATTACAATTATTAATCAAAATGTCATACACAATACAAGACGATGAATATTTTTTTGTCCAAAGTCACGATTAATATAAAATTGGAAGACGATAAATTAGTATTAATATTTTGATATTGGGACTTTTTAGATATAATATAATAAATTGAGACTTTTTGGTGATAAAAGTTTTCAAAGAGGACTTTTTTGTAATTCCCTTAAATCTACATTTTTAGGTTTTTTTTTTTGGTCCATTAGATTCAACCCCCTTAGTCTTACAAATAATAGGGGTAGATCCAAACTCAAATTTGTCATTTAGATAAAAACCCATATTTTTCTAAATTCCATCAGTACCCTCAATCAAAATCCCACAAATCCCGTTACTTACCTTTTGAAATGATATCAAATTCGGCCCTATTTTCCCGTTAAAACCACTATATAACGGACAACCGTATTATTCAACCACATAGTATATTAATAATTTCAATATAGTACATTAATCTGTTATGATAGTATATTACGGTTATAGTAGTGGTATGAAATTGTGTTACAAACAATATACCACTGAAATGACAAGAACATTTAGAACAAAACCAACGTAAAGTAATTCCAACATAACCAATAAAATACTTAAAACACATCATAACACAATCAAACCAATATGTCGAGTTAAAAAACTCTAGTACATTAATAATCTCATAATAGTATAATAAAGTGATAATTGTAGTATCATACGGTATTCATAATAGTATACTACTGTATTACAATGGTTTAAGACTTAACTGAAGTTACCGAGCCATTACATCGTAAACACGACATTAATTAAACATATCAAATCTTAGGGTGGTTTGGAAAATAACAACCATCGGAATCATTTGAATTCATTGAGTTTATGTCCTCGTCGCTATCATCAGGAATGCAATCGACTTCTTCTTCGAACAACTGCACAAAGCCTACATTCAATGCCTCACTTCCAGTGGCATCAACGGCTCCAACTAGTTCACCCCCACCCCCTGTTCCATCATCATCAGAAATAACAACTTCAGCATCATATGAACTTAAAAAATGCAGAATACAAATAATTGATTAAATAGACTACCAAATACATTCCAATGTACTACCGAATACATTAAAATCGACTGCTGTAAACAAACAAAACAACTATCAGTCAGTTTCAACTTCATCAACTCGACCACACCAAATATTTATTTCGATTACTGCGCAAACCAACTACGACACTCATATAAAACAACTCTGGTCCGACTGCGTGAACCATCCTCTGGCAACTATGTGAATCCTCTTCCAAACAAACATCATCAGACAAAATAAGGATGTATATGTGACGACGTAATTTTTTTAAAAAACGATCTACTTTACTACCAATAGAATCAACGTATCAACACAAATCTTATAATGTCTAACCACCATAACACAACAACCCCTGCACAAGACAGCGAAAAAAAAAACGAAAAAAAAATTGTTCATACTCGCTTAACGACGGACAACGATGAAACGCTCAGATCCGAAACTACTTCCACGCCGGTGAAAAATTCTTCAAAGCCGATTGTACACGATTTGATAATAACGAAACCGCCAATATACTCACGTAATTTTATTCCGTGATTTTAGGCAACTTATCAACAATCTCATATCACGTAGTTAAGGAAATAAATGCCGTTCAAAAATAAAACAGGGGTATTAAAGGGAAATTATATAATATATCGTGACAAGTTGGCATATTTGGGTGTATCTCAAAAAGAGGAAAATCAAATGGATCTATCTCATTAGAAAATCTCAAAAAGGGGGTTATCCCTAATAAATCTTTTTTTTTTTGTTTTTACAATCTCCCTTCTTCTTAATACATGATCTAACTAATTAATAATACTAGGGTTTACATGATCCAAGGTAGAGTCAATTAGATTTTGTTCGGTTAAGTATTAATTGACTAAATATCACGAGCTCTCAATAATATTTGTTTTAAATAGAACTAGTCGTGGCTCTTTCTTTATACAATTAAATTTTAGGTGGTTACCACAAGAAATAAACATTACATTTAATATCACATTGCATTTCGAAATACAATAAATCATACACAATGCAAAAGAATATAGTTTTTTCGTACCCTCGAAATTATGCGAGAGAGCAAAAGAAAAGGGTGCAAAATATTATTAACTTTTTTTGAGGGTGCAAATAATAAATACTACATTTTAAAGGTGCAAAGTGAAATTAAACCAATACATATATCATGGTTGGAGTAGCCGAGTAAGTGCTGAAAAAACAGTTATTAACTAAAATAGTTTAGCAAGCAAATCATTCATTTCTAACCTTACATGGTTGAAAGTCAACAAAATTATATGAGTAAATTCCAGTTTCTTTCTTGTACTTTGATTCGATATCACTTTGCCCCTTCTACTCTCGATTGCATTAATTTGACTACTATATTTGAAAATTTGTTCCAATGTGGCATTTGTTGTTAGTTTTCAGACCTTTGACCTTAACACCATTTGATCTAAGTTCGAAAATTACAAAAAAACCACCCCTCCCAGATTAAATAATTATTAATTTTTTTTAAATAAAAAATGAACTGTTGCCGACGTTGTGGACTATGTTTTCTCGTTGTCTTGAATTTTTTATTATCTTATTTTTTGTTTTTTGTAATATTTTTTTTTACTTTTTTCTTAATAATTATTTAAGCTGGGAGATGTCGCGTTTTTGTAATTTCAGAGCTTAGATCAAACATTGGAAATGTCGAACGTCTGACAACTAGCAGTGAGGGCTACATTGAGACAATTTTTCAAGTGCAAGAGGACAAATTGATGCAATCAAGAGTAGAAGGGGTAAAGAGATACCGACCCAAAGTAGAAAGGGGAAAGTGGAATTTACCCAAATTATATTTATGGGCTTTTAGCTAATTAAAAAAGAACAAAAAAAGAAAAAAGAAAAAAAGGAAAATCAAATTGGGAGTCCGAATAAAACGGGACCCGGAAAATGAAAAATGGGTCGGAGGTTTTACTTTATCTTCTTCTCCGCCCTCAAAGCCTGCATCTCCTCTTCCTCTATCTGTTAACTCTCAGCTCTCAAACCCTATAAGCTGAGAGCTTTCTCTCTCTACACCCTTCTGCTACTCATCCTTTCTCTCTCCTCCAATTGAAGGATATATATACACACAGAGAGGAAGATACACAGATAAAATGAACTCATCACTTCTCTTAACAACCAATCCACGTTTTCCCCACCCCAATTTTACCTTACTCACCCCCTTTCCACCCCTCATCGCTCTCCGTCCTTCCTCCGTCCATCTCCGCCGCCGCCGTTTAGATATCTCCAGTTCGCTTTCCGACCGACCATCGGCCGCCGCCGTCAAACCCGATGTTTTTGGAGATAAGAAGGAGCTCACGGGCGTCCAGTCACTCGTGGATGCCATGTCACCTCCCGTTCGAATTGCGAGCTCTGCTTTAATCGTTGCTGCTGCGGTTGCTGCTGGATATGGACTAGGGTTGCGGTTCGGTGGGTCCCGCAATGTTGCCATTGGTGGGGCCGTGGCGGTTGGTGCTGCCGGCGCCGGAGCTGCCTATGCGCTGAATTCTTGTGTGCCGGAGGTTGCGGCGGCTAGTCTGCACAATTATGTAGTGGAGTGTGGCGATCCTGGTGCTGTCAAGAAGGAAGATATTGAAGCCATTGCTAACAGGTAATTTTTTAATTTTCTATTTGCGTTTTCTCTGTAAATTTCTTTGATGGTTTATTATATAATTTTGCTTGTAGAATTATTGCACAATGCTCGCCTGCATGCTGATTGGAAATGATTTTATGTTCTTTGTTATGGTGGATAATGATGAGTATCGGTTTTCAATTTTGTAATTGTAATTTGGTGTGTAACCTGTGGTATCTATTAATAATTACTTTATAAAATTAAGACGGAAGTAATTGTGGATCCAACTCCAGTGGTGACTTGGTTTTGTTTACTGAAAAGAATTCTCATATGACCCTTTATACAAAACCAAATGAATTGAAAGGAATATACTGAGTTGTGTGTTATGTAATCTTCCCAAACACATGGACAAGTAAGGAGTTTTGGATGTTCCGTGCTCCTTGGTTGACACTTGATATAAACAGGAAATGCAGATGATTTATAGTCTTTAATACTTACAAGGTGGTATGTGTGTTTGATTGGGAACCGTTAGAACAGTAGAAATGCGGCAAACAAATGTAGTGATCAGATGTTGTGTCGGATGAAAGCAATTTATCGTAAATGAATATAAAATGCAATTCTATTTCCTTCTTCATTTTTATGCTGATATTTGAAAGAACCCGTATTCTAGCTCTTCGTAGACAACACTATCAGTACTACGTAACCGTAACTGACAAACTAAGAGGGACGAGATTCTCCTTCTTGGAAAACCTTGACCTGTAATATGCCTGTTTTTATATTTGTTATATGCCTGTTTTTATATTTGTTATTTCTCTCCTCTTGCCCCTGCGCTTTATCATCCTCTTATCATGTGTTTGGAAATGCTATTTGTCATTTTCAGTCTTCATATTTTTCGTGTAATATTCCAGATATGGTGTTAGCAAACAGGATGAGGCATTCAATGCGGAGCTTTCTGATATTTATTGCCGGTAAAAACAAATTATTATGCTTAAAAGAGCTGTGTATTTGTGGATATAAATAACTTATTGCTCTTGCATTTTTAGTTTTGTATCTGCTATCCTTCCTTCTGTGAGTGAAGATCTCAGAGGTGATGAAGTTGACGCTATTATTAAGTTCAAAAACTCGTTGGGTATTGATGACCCGGATGCGGCAAATATGCACATGGAGGTACTATTTCATCTAGTGCTTCATTTTACAGCAATAAATAATAGAGTGCTGTGATTTGATGAGTAAACAAAGATAAATTCGTTCATGTTTTCAATGAAAAATTTCTCAGATTGGCAGGCGAATTTTCAGACAAAGACTTGAAACTGGGGATCGGGAAGCTGATATGGAGCAACGGCGGGTATGTTGTTCTGTGATCATTCGAACATGATATATTAGGTTTGATACCTTTGAACTTACGAAGATATGGAGCTTGATCATTTCTGATGTTTCAGTGCAGGCATTTCAGAAGCTGATATATGTCTCAACTCTTGTGTTTGGAGAAGCAGCATCTGAATTCTTGTTACCTTGGAAACGTGTCTTCAAGTATACCGATTCTCAGGTAATTAGGCATTGCAAATATTTTCAACTGAATGTATTTCCCTATATTAATTTAGTGAGTTCCAGAATTTGTCACTTCAGTTTCTTTTTGGATTAAAAAATCAGTGTGATGTAGATTTTCTGCCACTGTAGGTTTATATTTTTTCCTAATTGCCTTATGTCATTAGGTCGAGGTTGCTGTCAGGGACAATGCACAAAGGTTATATGCCATCAAGCTTGAATCAATTTCCCAAGGTAGCCAGTACATCTCATTTTGTTGTGAATATCATGAGGTCCTGGTGATGTCATCTTCTGATTAGAGATTTATTTTTTAAATTTCTTCGTAATAGTTAACCATCACTGACCTTGTTCTCTCCTATATCTTTACTTTTCTTGTCTTTCTACATTACAATTAAGTAAGTAATTATGAATAATAAGCATCTTCAGAAGTATGTCATTCCTCTGTCTTACTTTTACATTTTAACTTTTAGGCCTTTTGAAGGTTGGGGCAAATATCTTAAATTCTCTGCTTTTACGGTAGATCTATATGTTATCGATGTATGCCTTACCCATTCTGGTCACTTTTTTTTTTTTTTTTTACCTTTTCTCCTCATTTAGCTTTATCAGGTTTATACTTGGATTATATTTGTTACTACGCTACACACTAAACTAATGAGTGTTAACTAAGAATGCATCATTAATGTGGCTGTAATTTTTTTCCAGATGTTGATGTTAGCCAGCTGATCAGCCTTAGGGAAGCACAACGCCTTTATCGACTTTCTGATGAGGTATTGTCTTCAAGTTATTATTAATATCTTTAAGCACATATCCCAAGTTGCCCAATAATATATGAGAATATCCGACTAATGAACAATAATGTACTCATTTATGCAATTTTGACATGTCATAGTGGTGTATTATAAAAATTTAGAAGTCAAATATGATTGATACATCTATCTGCTCCCAGTACTAGCTTGTTCGTTTCCTTTTGCAGCTTGCTGAAGACATGTTTAGGGAGCATACAAGAAAACTTGTGGAGCAAAATATATCAGCAGCTCTTACTGTATTGAAGTCCAGAACGAAAGCAGTGTATGAACAATATTATACAATATACCTGAAATCATATAGATCTGCTACAATTATTAGTCTGAATTTTTTTTCCTTAGTAAGTTCAGAAAACAAGGAGCATGGTATGTTCTGAATTTTTTCATGGCTAGTCTGATATTTCCTGTCCGAAAGTAATCCAAACAATTATTGGGATGAATTGCAGTCCAAACATGTTTATTATTGATTGAGACATCCAATTATATATTAAATAACTCATCTGAAGAGAGGTAAAACAGAAATTATATATGCAAACACTAAAGAAGTAGTGTGTTGCTTGTAAAAAAGTTTCTTATATATTTTAGAAATTTTGGGCCTAGTTTCATGTGGTTATGTATTTCACTCCTGACGAGTGACCTTTGTCTTAATGTACATTCCTGTTTATTGCAAAGACTTGGTAATGCAGTTACTGAATAATATTACATTCTAGTATATTTATTGCCTAACGAGATGTGTATATTTAACAGGCAACCTGTGATTGAAGAGGTTGATAAGATACTGTCTTTTAATAGCCTGCTAATTTCACTTAAAAACCATCCTGATGCCAGTCGCTTTGCTCGGGGGGTTGGGCCTATATCTTTGATAGGTTTGTCTGAACAAATTTTCATTCTTGTTTTTCAAGACCATAGTTTGCATGTCGATCGGGTTTTCTTTTTGATTATGTTAGTATTTTCTAATATTCTTTTGTGCAATTTTATCTTATAATGTGGTGTTCATTATATAATTTTTTTAGCTTGAGATGATTCATGTTTTTGGATCAGGCGGGGACTATGATGGTGATAGAAAGATAGATGACTTGAAGCTTCTATACAAAGCATATGTGACAGATGCTTTATCCAGCGGTCGCATGGAAGAAAAAAAGGTTCCTATTGAATAATATCGAAAGTGCTGTTTACTTTTCATTGTACAACATGGTATGCATACAGTATGCATTTCTTATGCAGCTGTCTGCTGTTACAAATTTTTGCTGACAAAATCTATAGTTTTATTCAATGTTCCAAGTAGTAGACATATACTTGTGTTAATCTTTTCCTTTTCATTTTTAATTAAATTCTTTATCTACCTGCTGTTGACTTTCGTCTTTCTGTTCTTATTGCAGCTCGCTGCACTGAATCAATTGAGGAATGTATTTGGCTTAGGGAAACGAGAAGCAGAGACAATTGCGATGGATGTTACCTCTCAAGTGTATCGCAGACGTCTTCAGCAGGCAGTATCTAGTGGTGATTTGTTAAATGCGGATAGTAAAGCAGCCTATCTTCAGAATTTATGCGAAGAGCTGCATTTTGATCCGGAGAAAGCCATAGAAATTCATGAAGGTTTAATTTTATACTTAAAAACTTTTTTTTTATCCATAGAAGGCATAAGTTTTGATCATGGTACTATTTTGCGACATAGATCTTCATGGCCCACATGGCTCACATATGTAAACTGGCTTCACATTTATTTTTGTTTGCAATTTGTTTGTTAAAGAATTTATGTTCGCAATGTTTAGATATTTATCGGAGGAAACTTCAGCAACTGGTAGCTGCTAAAGGTGAACTCAGTGACGAGGATGTGAAAACCTTGGAACAGATACAGATTATGTTCTGCATTCGAAAGCAAACTGTTGAAGCAGCTCATGCTGATATCTGTGGCAGTTTGTTCGAGAAGGTAATTCACTGAACTTCTTCCAATATATTTTGCTTACAAGGAGGTTGACTATACAAGATTTTCATCGTGTCTGTAAGTTCAGATTTGGATTTCTTTTTTCTGTGTATATGCATGCATTATAATTGAATAGTAAAAGATGGTATAATACAAATCTATAAAGCAACTTTAGACCAAAGTACTTGGGTAACTTCACAATTTGAAGTAATTAACGTCAACGGTCTCATAATGCAATCTATACAGCAATCCTCATATGTCAGAAGTGTGCTTACCGGCGATAATTATTTTAATGGTGATCAAATTACTTAAACAGGTGGTCAAGGAAGCAATTGCTGCAGGTGTTGATGGGTATGATGCAGAGATTAAGAAGTCTGTCCGAAAGGCTGCCTTTGGATTGCGCTTGACCAGGGACGTTGCAATTTCAATTGCTAGTAAAGCAGTAAGTATCAATGAACTATGTTTTGCTGCAATTTCATATCACAACATAGTTTCAGTTCTCTCAGAAAGTTAAACCGAGTGTCTATTTCTTTTTGAAGGTTCGCAAGATTTTCATCAGCTATATCCAACGTGCAAGGGCAGCTGGCAGCCGCACAGAATCCGCAAAAGAACTCAAAAAGATGATAGCTTTCAACAACTTGGTCGTCACTGAATTAGTAGCAGATATCAAAGCTGACTCAGCAGATTCTCCTCCACCCGAAGAGCCATCCACCAAGATCGAAAAAGAAGAAGTGAAAATAGAGGAAGATGAGGACTGGGAATCCATACAATCGCTCCGCAAATCTCGGCCCAATAAGGCTACTACAGCAAAATCGGGGCAGAAGGAGATCAATCTCAAAGACGACCTTCCAGAAAGAGATAGAGCTGATCTTTACAAGACATACTTGCTATTTTGTCTAACTGGTGAAGTTACAAGAATACCCTTCGGTGCACAAATCACCACGAAGAAGGATGATTCCGAATACGCCTTCTTGAACCAACTCGGCGGCATACTTGGTTTGACCGACAAAGAGATTGTCGAAGTTCACAGGGGTTTAGCCGAACAGGCTTTCAGACAAGAAGCTGAGGTTATCTTGGCTGATGGGCAGTTGACCAAAAGTAGGATCGAGCAACTCAATGAGCTGCAGAAGAACGTCGGATTGCCACCTCAGTACTCGCAGAAGATCATTAAAAACATAACCACCTCGAAATTGTCGGCGGCTCTCGAAACTGCCGCCGGTCGTGGGAGGCTCAGCATAAAGGAAATTAGAGAGCTGAAAGAAAACGGAATCGAAGTGGAGAACATGGTCTCTGCCAGTTTACGAGAGAATCTCTTCAAAAAGACGGTCGATGACATTTTCTCGTCCGGTACTGGGGAGTTCGACGAGGAGGAAGTGTATCACAAAATCCCCCAAGATCTCAATATCGATGCTGACAAGGCGAAAGGGGTTGTCCACGAACTCGCTCGTACTAGGTTATCAAACTCGCTCATTCAGGCAGTGGCATTACTAAGACAGAGAAACCAAAAAGGGGTGGTAAGTATAAGTAGCGACTATTTTTCGAAATCCGTAATTAACAAATCCATTGAGTTAGAAAATGTGTTTTTTTGTGTTGTTGTAGGTGAATTCGCTGAACGACTTGTTAGCGTGCGATAAGGCGGTGCCCTCGAAGCCATTGTCATGGGAGGTGCAAGAGGAACTGGCTGATTTGTTCTTAGTGTACCTGAAAAGCGATCAAGCGGCTGAAAAAGTTGCGAGAGTACAGTATCTACTGAGCATCAACGATGCAGCAGCAGAAGCTTTAAGAAACGCGAAAGATAATGGATTGCCGAATGGAGCTAAAGCTGAGGAAGAGTTTGTATTTTGAACTGAAACTTTTTTGGTTAGACTTTTGATTAGTATGCCTCTTATTTTAGCTTTAAATTTGAGAAATATAATAATGCTTTAAATGTTTGTACCAATTTTGTTGAGCAGAATGATTTTGAGTGAAATTCTTTGTATCCATAGCTTTTTTTGTGCCAATAATAGCATTTGGGAAAAAATAATTTTGTCACTATTAAGGCTTGTTAATGAACTACCCCACACCACTGAACTGAAATTATTTATTTATTTCTTTTATTTTAAATTCTTCAGGGTTATAATAAATTATAAAATACTTTTAGATTAATAATTTTTTCGATTAGTTACAAATTAGCCTCTATTGATAGTCACCTTTTGTTTTTAGGGTGGATTATTGAAATTTGAATGTCAAATTCAAGAATTTAATCAGTTTGAATATATATTTTTTAATTTTTTAAAATATTAAAAATATTTTTGATTTAACCGTTACCGAACTGAAGAAAATCAAATTAATTCAGTCAAAAACTGTACCGAACCAAGTAATTTGGTTCGGTAAACAGTAAAAAAAATTGGATGTACCATAAAAAATTTCGAAGTACCAAAATTTTGGTTTTACCGAAATTCCGGTACGGTATTAGCGAATGAACACCCCCAGCTGATTCCTCACCAACTAATATTATATTTTCTTGAAATCTACATGTGAATGTGGATTTTGTTGACTTTTTTTGTGTTATAAGCTCTCAGAAATATACCATATTCTAGAAAATACTGTAGCAACTATTATTTTAACAGGTATTAGAAGTTTCTGGAGTTTGGGGGAATTCACAAAAAACTAGTAATATTATTGGATAGGTAAAAAGTATCCACTACTACAACACTCAGATTCTTGTCAATTTTTTGTTCACATTGATTTATGTCTTGTCATCAATAATTGTCAAACCACTTACATAATTAAATGACTATTAGTGTAAGTTTCTATCATTATGATAATCATAAATTAAAGGGTAAATTACAATCACCTCCCTGAGGTAAAGTCTATTTACGAAAACCCTCTTCATTTTTAAGAAATTACATCCAACTTCCTGTACTCTGTAAATTTCTTACATCCACCCCTACAAAAGGGTGTTAGTGTAAGAAATCTACACATTGCAGGGCTGTTGATGTAATTTGAAAAAAATGAGGGATTTTTTTCGTAAATTCATCTTACCTGAGAGGGCTGTTGATGTAATTTGAAAAAAATGAGGGATTTTTTTCGTAAATTCATCTTACCTGAGAGGGCGGTTGTAATTAACCCTAAATTAGTGAACATTACCTAATAAAGGGTTCTGTATAGTAATCTATTTTTGGTTGAATTTCATCCAATTAAGTTTGACTATGACTTAATTTGGGCATACAACAAATGTCAACTAGTGTATGCCTCTGTGTGTGTGCATGCAATCTATAAATTCCAGTTATATTGCAGCTCCTCATAAGCATAAACACCTCAATACAAAAATTTATCTAGTGTTCTAATTGCATTAATAATAATTAAAAAAATTCCCCGAAAAACCATGGCAAAAACGAAGTTCATGAATTACGCGATCTCGATTACTCTATGCCTCGAGATGATTTTGATTGCCACGTCGGCGCAGTTGTCGGCGAACCACTACTCTACGTCTTGCCCGAAAGCTCTTACCACCATCAAAACAACTGTCTTGAAGACCCTTCTCAAGGACCGTCGTATGGGAGCGTCTCTGCTTCGCCTTCATTTCCACGATTGCTTCGTCAATGTATACACTCTCTCTCTCTAAAACACATTGATAACTAAAGCATCAAATTGCATGCATGCATGCATGCAATTAATAATATTAATAGTATTAATTAATTAATGATATATATGAAACAGGGGTGTGATGCATCAGTTCTGCTAGATGACACTTCAAGTATGATAGGAGAGAAAACAGCAGCTCCGAATAACAACTCGTTGAGGGGTTTCGAAGTGATCGATTCCATTAAGTCCCAACTCGAAACCATCTGCCCCGGAGTTGTTTCTTGCGCGGATATCCTAGCTGTTTCTGCCCGCGATTCCGTTGTTGCCGTAAGCTGCCGTTAATTAATTTAATTAACTACTACTTTTAATAAAATTAGCCCAATTAATAAATTTGCTGCACTGATTAATTAATCAGGTAGGTGGACCTTCATGGGGTGTTCAGCTGGGAAGACGGGACTCGACTACAGCGAGTATTGATTCCGCAAACACGGATATTCCGTCGCCGACGCTCGATCTGCCCGAACTTATTTCCGCCTTCTCAAACAAAGGCTTTACACCAAAAGAAATGGTTGCACTTTCAGGTATATAATAACAAAAGATCCCAAATAATAACAATTATAATAAATGTCAGCTTCAGTTTTTGAATACCGTTTCGACTTTAAACGTGATTTTGACTATTTTTCGGTCTTAATTTGAAAAGACACGAAATTTATAGTTCTTTAAGTTAGTAATTTAATTAATTAGTTCAACTTGAATCATCAAGATTGGATGTCGGCTAAGAACGATATGCATGAATGCGTCCATAACTATAATCTTTTGAGTTATTTAAAATTCATAATGCAATTTGTTACCAGACATCCAATCTAACTGACTCAAGTTGGATTAGAAAGCTGACTCAATGAGCTGTAACTTCCGTGCTTTGAATTTTGCCAGAATCAAACTAGAAAATGGTCAAAATCACGTTTGAAGTCAAAACGATATTAGTAAAGCTGACTCAAGTTGGATGGATTAGAAAGATGAATCAAAGAACTACAACTTCCGTGTTTTGAATTTTTCCAGAATCAGACTAGAAAATGGTCAAAATCACGTTTGAAGTCAAAACGGATATTAATAAAATTGAAACGACAGTTAACATTTCAGTTTCTTAAATTTAAATATGGAACAGGTGCTCACACAATAGGGCAAGCGAGATGCGTCGTGTTTCGCGAGCGCATCTACAACAACGAAACCAACGACAACATACCGGCCTCGTTCGCCACGTCACTCAAATCAAACTGTCCACTCACCGGCGGCGACGACAATCTCTCCCCGCTCGACGCCACGTCATCTCTCTCGTTCGACACCGCGTATTTCAAGAATCTAGTCAGCAACAAAGGCCTACTGCACTCCGACCAGCAGCTCTTCGGCGGTGGTGGTGCTACTACTAGTACAGATTCTCTGGTGAGCGGTTACGCAAATAATCCACCGGCATTCTTCTCCGATTTTGCAAGTGCCATGATCAAGATGGGGAACCTCAGCCCACTTACAGGAACCAACGGTCAGATCAGAAGCAACTGCAGAAAGATTAATTAAATCGTATACGATACGAAACTAATTATTAAGCGTTGTTTTTCGTAATAAAATTAAATAATCCAAATAAATATTGCAGGAATCATAAATCAATAGTTTGTAGTTTATTTACTAGCTATAATGTGTGGATTTTCTGTTCTTCCCTTTTGCATGTTGAAATATATCATTTTTCAGTGAATTCAGAATGTTTATTTGTGTTACATAGATTAATTTTGACGTAATTAATTCTTTCATACACCAGTCGTATTTGCGTTCGAAAATTCATATCAATTCATAGAAAAATCAGATGATGATTTCGTAAATTGGGTTTTCCCAAAATTTCAAGATCCATTAAAATTATGGTTTAACTCGTTTTCGTTGTTTTTTTGTAAATTTCTGTTGTTCCCATTTTTTAGTTATGATTGTTTATTTTCATTTTGGGTATATATATCCTATGTTTTATTGTACATTAATTTAGCTAATTAGTGTAATCATTTGCTTGTCAATTTCATTTTGGCCCTTATAAAGTCCTTGTAGGACATTGGTTTAGTTTCTATATATATAATTAAGGGGTAATATGCAATGAGCCCCTCAAACGAAACCTAATTTGAACTAAATGACAAGTTCAAATTCATTTTTTAAATTAAATCCTTAATTTGAAATAATATATGAGCAACATCCCTAATTTTTTTTATTCTCTATCTTGTCCTTATACCCTAAATTATATAACCTACATACTCACGGTTCTCCAATTCAGATTTATTTCGTTCTTTTGGTTTCTCTCACGTTTTCTCTCTCCCTCCCTCTCTCACACGTTCTCTTATCTCTTTTTTCACTCTCGTTTTTTTTTCTCCATCTCTCTATCTCACCTCTCTATCTCCATATCTCTCTTTTGCTAATTAATTTAGTAATATTCGAAGCCAAGGGTTGTGGTGGAGGAGGAGGCGGTTGCGGGGGCTGTTGTAGAGGAGGCGGCGGCGGCGGGCTGTGTTTTGAGATGGCAGCGAGGTGTTGTGGGCGGCGACAGGGGCTGGGGTGGAGCAGGCGGCGGCGACGGGCTGTGGTGGTTGAGATGGCGGCGAGGTGTTGTGGGCGGCGGCGGGGGGCTGGGGTGGAGGAGGCGGCGGCGGCGGGCTGTGGTGGTTGAGATGGCGGCGAGGTGTTGTGGGCGGCGGCGGGGCTGTGGTGGAGGAGTCAGCGCCGGTGGGTTGTGGTTGTCGAGATGGCGGCCGACTGTGGTGGTCGAGATGGCGGCGAGGATGTGGTTATGGTAGAGATTCGATCTTGATCTTCAAGAGATTTTGCTTGATTTGGGTTCAAAATCGTAAATCTAGATTTTCCCAAAGTTGGTAGGTTACGGTTGCGACGGCTGCTAATGTTGGCTGCTAGGGTTTGACGTTGACGGCTAGGGTTGACAAGGATTGTGTGGTGGCTAGAGTTTGGTAGTACACCGTAGTAGACCATAGTACACCGTAGTATACCATAGTCTACTATAGTATTACAACAAATAAAATATATATATATATATATATATATATATATATATATATATATATATATATATATATATATATATATATATATATATATATATATATATATATATATATATATATATATATATATATATATATATATATATATATATATATATATATATATATATATATATTGAATTAACAAAAAGGAAAAACAAGTTTTGTTTTGTAATTTTTAATAATATTGTAGAAAAAAAGTTTTTTTTAATAATAGTGTAGAAACGATAATACACCATAGTATACTATAGTATTTTTGAAATCTGCTGAATTATTTAACAAAAAGAAAAAAAATCGTAATTTTCAAAAAAAAAATTATAAATAAGAAAAAAATTGTTTATAATAATATAAAAAATGCAGAGTGTAAATTGAAAAAATAAAGATGAGTGAAATGGCATTTTCATAATGAATTTAATAAAGAATGCGAAGCAAATGTTTAGTTGAGCTTGTCATTTAGTTCTAATTAGTTTTATCACTAGAGACCTATATCTTAAGACCCCTATAATTAATGTAAAATTTGGCACTTAATCATAGGTTTTAAACCTATGAAACTCCAACAACCTGATGAACTGCCCATAACTAATACTCCCTCCGTTCCTTTATAACTGTCGTTTTTAGCTTGTGCACAAGGATTAAGAATCTCAATAAATGTTGTTTAATTTTAGAAAAATATATGTTCTTATACTAAAATGCCCTTGCCAGTAATTAATGTGAGAGAGTGTTGGAGATAGTTAATAAGGGTAAAATTGATAATTACACAATTAATGCAGTATTGGAAATGTAAAGTGACAGATAATATGAAAAAAAAATATTTTAAAAAAGAGACAGTTATTATGGAACAGAGGGAGTAATTAATTAAGCATCAGTTTTCATGTTATTGTCTCATAGGAAAAATAAGACCTTTCTTGATTTTTTTCCACAAATTAATAATTAACTAAAATACAATAATAGTTGGTAATATTGTTAATTTACTGTTGCATCTTCCAATAATGGAGGGGATTAGGAATTAGGTGTTGACAATATTGCGTTATGGATAACGAGACGAGGATTGGTTGATGGGATTTGGTAACACAATATAATTTTCATTTATTTATTTATTTGTTAATTAGGAGTTAAGATTAATTATTCTAAATTATTAAATTTTCTAGATGTTTGACTTGTCAGTCTGTATTGAATCAAGGCATCGACTAAGTCATGGGATTGACATAGTACAATATATAAATTATAATACTAATGATTTCATATTTTAATTACCTAATTATTGACTATGTGGCTTATTAATGTTTTTCTTAATTAAATTGTACATCAATTAGTTATAACTAAGCTATATAAAAAACAGTATATTCTTCAATTAAGTTTGCTGTTTGACAAGGTCCATATATCAATTACACCTACATGGCAACATATATTGTTTCAATATATTAATATATTAGATCTTGTATTGAATCTATTAAAATTTGGTATTACATGTTTGATATGCCTAATTGGCCCAACCCAATGGGCCTACAAATTATTTACCTACTGGGCCACGAGCCCAATATCGAAGACTACTATCACTGAGGCCCAATCACCTTCAAGCAAGGTTTGGGCCCGACAATCTCAACTAAGCTATAAATACACATTTGAACTCATTCCATAAGGTACGTCCAATTAACTGAGCAATACTACAATACGTATTATCTGGACTATTTCTATGATCAGCACGTCTGACTTGAGCGTCGGAGGGGTTTCCGCCGGATCAACCCCCGGCTTAGTTCATGTGTTCTATGATCGCAGGTACCTCAGGATCATCAAGTTGTCAAGCTACTGATCTGCTTTGCTCTCCCAGTTCATTTTCTACACCACCCCAGGTGATCTAAGTAATTAGCATCATCATTTTGGCGCCTTCTGTGGGAACGATGCAAACCAGATCACGTAGCCAACAAGATCCTCCTAAGGCGTCTGCTCGGAGAGAAAATGACACAGCTAACGACCTCCCACCTCGTGGAGGCTCTGGCTTGCCACCTCCTCCACGTCCGATGGATCCGCCTCGCGAGGTTCAGGTGATCCCCCCTCGGGACCCACCACTCGCCGATCCACCACTCCCTGCACCTCGAATGGTTCAAATAACTGAGGATGCGCTTCAACGCATGATAGCAGAAGGTTCAACTCGCGCTGCCACAGAGGCCGTGACCCAATATATCGCTACAATGGGAGTAAATGCTCCCAACGCGATACCAGCACCTGCTCCACATGCCCCCAAAATATTTCGCTCGCCAAGGGTTATCGACTCCCTGGGGGCTTACATCTGCCCCCAAAACATTTCGCTCGCCAAGGGTTATCGACTCCCTGGGGGTATACAGTGCCCCCAAAACATTTCGCTCGCCAAGGGTTATCGACTCCCTGGGGGTTTACATCTGCCCCCAAAATATTCCGTTCGCCAAGGGTTATCGACTCCCTGGGGGTTTATAGTGCCCCCAAAATATTTTGCTCGCTATGGGTCATCGACTCTCTGGGGGCCTACTTCCGCCCCCCCCTCGAACGGTTCAGATAACCGAAGAGGACCTTCAGCTTATAATCGCCGAAACTTCAACAATATCGACTTCTATTTGCTCCTCTAACGGTTCAGATAACCGACAAGGACCTTCAGCATACGACCGCGAAAGCTTCAATTCGTGTTG